GTTTTGCAAGCAATTAGTGGTACCATACCTGCCAACTTTTACGCATTTGGCGTAAAATTTTATTTCTATATTTAAAGTGGTAGTAAAATATATGTTTTCTATATATTATTTGCATTTATAAACTTAATTTATAATATTTTTAATCCAACACTATTTTTTAAAAAATTAAACATATATATTAGTATGTAATACTATTGTAGTAATCTGTATAAGCTTGTTCAAAATACAGCAAATGTTACTACCTAATATTGCATTTTAAATTTAAATTTACTACAACTGGGGAAAATCATTCTTGAAAGGATTAAAAGTTGGCAGGTATGTATATATTGCAAACTGGCCAAATTAGTAGACGCACTATAAACTTCTATGTAAAATCTTAATTATCAGGTGATACTATACAGCTTTTATTGTTTTTACGCGACCGAAACCGGTTTGCACTTGTTTACGTTCGTGTATAAATTGGTGAAATTAGACGATATGTTATATAAATTCGACAATTGGATAAAATACTTATTATATCAGATATTATATTAGTATATTAAAATAATTAGACAAAATTATTCGATACACGTTTGTGTTTTAATAATTGTATGTTTTGCACGAGTTTATATGCAATATTCTTATATTTAAACATAAATGTAATGAGTTTTTATAGAGGAGATTTTTTTATAAACTACCCATTTGTATTTATTTCTTACGTATTGCATTACAATGTTAACCAATTGATGCACGAACATAAACGAGTGTAAACCGGTTTCAGCCGCGTAAAAACAATACAACTGTATAGTATCACCTGATAATTAAGATTTTGCACTGAATCTTACAGTGCGTCTAATAATTTGGCCAAGGACTGTGTGTATATATATATATAACATAAAAGACAAAAATGATAATGGAAAAGAAAGTCATACTTGTTGTAACCGCGCGCGCCGTACGAGGATCATAATTCAGAGGGGACCTTCGGATCTACAGTCTGCTATTCTGAAACGGTTTTTTGAATTTCATTTCATTTCAGAATTTTTTTCCGTCTTATAAAGCGTATGGCTGTAAGAGATGTAAAACTTGGCTCAATATTGACAAAAAACATATAATTAAAGAAAAAAAGATAGCTGTAAATGTGATTGTTAAATCAATTATGTTACTTTTATGTTAACCTGTGATTTTTTACAATAAAAAATATGTAGGACAAACTAGTAACTCTCTTAATGTTAGAATTAATCTGCATCGTTCAGATATAAACAGCGATAAAATTATTAAAATTAATATTTCAGATACAGTACAAGATATTGATTTAAGACTGAAAAGAAAAAATAATTACATGCTTTTAAACAAAACTATTTTTCCATATGGGCTAAACGATACATATACAGATTAGCTTTAATAATTCCTCAACTTTTCGTGTTTAATCATTTTTGATCATTGCCATTTTTAATCAAATGAATAGAATTAAAAGAATTTGTAGTATCTAATGCTTTTTTTATAAAAAATAAATATATAGTCGAACTCTTCCAAAATTTAATTAAAAACACTGGATATCTAAATATAGTGTAATTAAATTCTATGTAAAATCGTTGTGTTAATTGTATGTTTAATTAAAAATTTCTTTGTTAACTAAATTTATATTTCGCCCATGTGCAAATCCGATTCGCTCAAATCCGTGGCTAAAATCTTCAAATATTTAATAAAGAATTTTTCAAAATATTTTTAAAATAAAATTTTAAAAAAAATTTGTTTTCATCAATAAATGTTAATAATTTTTTAAAATTCAACCTTATTAATATTAAAATTTTATAATTAAAATTAAATAAAAACTCTGAATTATACAGCATAATATTATCTTTCCCACATCCAGATTCGGGATAATCTAATTTAACTAATAACAAATTAAACACGCTTCTGTACTTCAGTAAAAACGCGCCATCAGTTGATTCCCTTCATCTTCTATTTCCGCTTCTATTTTCATATTTTGTAATCTGGGCAACTTGTTACAAAAACGTTTTATTTTATATTATATTTTATAACCGTCGTTGAACAGCCGACCCAATTTTTGGGTTTACGACTACTAATAATGTTCAACTCCGTAGCCTTGTAATTTTGAACCCAATTTCAGAAAACAAGGAAACTCCTGGATCAAGTATTGGGAGAAATTTGACTTCGTGGAGGACTTTTTGATAGAACTAACCAGCATTTGTGTTCCGTGGAGAGGAAGACCACGAAAACCTCACACGGTTAGCTTGACGGAGGGGGGACATTAACCCATGATCCGTCTACCACTGAGGATATTTCATGTCAGCACTGTGGTTGATGCAAGCCGGATGCGGAATTCGTATCTACCAGCCATCGCCGGGATCGATAATTTCTAACTTATAGTGATAATTGCTGGTTTCTAGAATGATAATTGATAGAATGATAATTGCCGGCCAGGTGGCCGAGCGGTTAGCGTGCCTGACTGCGAAGCCATAGGCTGCGGGTTCCAATCCCGCTCTGGGCATGGATGTTTCTCTCTCTCTCTCTTTGTGCTGTCCTCTGTAGTGTGTGTGTGATGTGTGAATGTGGCCCACCCTATAAGCGAGTTTGTGGCAGTGTGGCGTGGCTTTGACTTTGGTTCACAAGTGCCCACTGGGTAACGCGAAATGAGCAACAATTCTGGCATCTTCATAGGCAAAGATTCAAATTCTGTGCCTGCCATTGGAAGAATAAAAAAAAGAATTATAATTGATTGATAGTTTCGGTGATAATTTTCAACTATTTGAACAAAAAAATAGTTTATTGAACACATTTAAAGATTTATTTATTTCATAATCGCTGCGTCAGATACATTCAATAAAGAACATTACGTGGTTGCACGTGTGGTCCACTTCACCAAATTTATACTTTTATAGCTGTCTGATGTCACGCACATTTTTTTTTTTAAATTCCTACTATTAGTTCACACTCTCCCTATATATATATTTATATATCTATATATCTTAATATTATATATTTATATATCTTTAATAACATACATTTTATTCCTCTATTCAAGTTCAAATACATTTTTTTTTAAACTTGTAGTGGATGACACTTAATGTAAATACAGTTTTTTTTACAAGAATTAATTCATTTATTAAATTTAATATTGTTGTTGTAGTCCATTTACGTCGCACTAGAGCTGCGCAATGGGCTATTGGCGACGGTCTGGGAAACATCCCTGAGGATGATCCGAAGACATACCATCACAATTTTGATCCTCTGCAGAGGCTATGGCACCCCCGCTTCGGTAGCCCGATGACCTGCATGCGAAGTCGAGCACTTTACGGTAGCACAGTTTAACGAGGACCAATACCGCACACCCTCCGTCCCTACGCAGACTAATCCAAGTTAGATTATTTAATAAAAAGTAACTGATATAAAAATTTTCTTTGTGGACCTAAGTTGAAATTGACTTTTAAAATTTTTTTAAATTTTTTTTTTAATATTACATGTTTATGTAATGATGCAATAAAATAACAGATATTTAATCTTTCACCTGTAAATTTGAATAATGATTTAAAAAATATATAGATTAGAGCTGATATCAAATAATTCGTTGGTTATTTTTGTGATGTGCAGGTGTTTGATTTCTCCATTAAGGATCACGTCATTATTTGTTCGATAAAAATATCGATATGATAGTGTAATCGATACTCCGTTCGTTGTAAAAAATTTATTTGCTTTTCCCAGATATTTTTCTGTGCAGTAAAAATTCATTTTCATTTCATTCAAATTATTGCAAAAATTAAATTTTAGGAATGTAATATTTCTGAATACGCATTAAATAAAAATTCTTTATTTTTACCATGAAATGTTTATTACTTTGTTGGTGAATAGAAAGATATCTAGCCTATTTGAGCGCGACATCTTTTTAATCACAATTACTTAAAGGATTTCTTTCATTATTTTAAATACATTACACATGGTTTTTAAAATCACATACTAAAAATGCAGCCATGTTTAAATTATTATTTTCTTTTAATCAATAGATTGTTACGATCACAACAAACAAACCTTACAGAAAGTCTTGCTGCCCTTTCCTGTGTTGAAAAAACAATTATTAATGTTTTTATTAACCATGTAAAATATTTGAGTGGTAACGCTTCGTTCAAAAGCGTTTAGAAAAAAAAATATCGTAGAAATGTTCTATGAAGGTAAAAAGTAGCAACCTTAAAAAGTGAAACCTAAAACCTACTCTGCGTACGCTTTTGTGTATATATTTTAAGTTGTATTAAATGGTTTGTTTGTCAACGAATCCGTAATTATTCGTTTTTAAAACCACTATTTCAATAACTCTGACGTCATAGCAGAAAGTGACTATTTCTTTTTTTTTCCAGTTCTTTCTTTTTAATGCATTTATTACGGCTTTGAATTCGGCGTGATGGATTTTTAGAGAATTTAAACATTTAATTTCAAATAACAAATTAATAGACTTCGACGTAGAGTGCACCCAAAAGCATAACAACTGCTGCCACTTGCAAACGAAATTTCCGCCATCGAAAACAAACAATTATATAAGTAAAAAGGAAAAAAAATGCGTTAAAAAAATGGAAAACAATACTTGTGATTCTTCTACCGGAAGTTGAAACAACTTATGTGTTCAGAACCTGACAACGGCAGGGGCATATGGGGCAGTTGCCCCACATCAGAGTGGGCCCTCAAATCGAATAGAAAGTTTATTTTAAGTTTCCTTCTTTAAAGAACTTTTTTTGAACAAAATATCAGTACAGTGTAAAACCCGTCAATTTTATGTTAGCTTTTCAATTAATCTATCGTGTAAATACGAAAAATCTATATTTCGTAAATCCATTGCTTTCTAATGCGGAATTCAGCTAAATTTTCGCAATTTCGATGGACAAATTCAGCCAATCAAAAGCCTGCATTTTTACTTATCACAAAATACGATGTGTTTACAAAAATACAGGCTTCTGATGGACTTAAGTGAGCCATCGTAATTGCGAAAATTTAGCTGAATTCCGTCTTATAGTCAGCAAGGATATGAATTTTTTCGAAGGTAGATGACAAAGTTAACAATCAGAAAACTGAATTCGACGTAACGGACATAGAATTGTCAGACAATCAATAAAATGGACCGAACGTTACTTGTCTGATAATTGGAGGGGGGGGGGACTGTATAGCTATTTTAGGTTCGAGTCAATTTTCTTGTTACTTAAGTATAATGAGGTAAAAAATTTAAAAATCTCCATAAAGTTCAGTTCTTCATTACTGAAATAATAAAGCAGAGGGGGCCTCCAAAAAAGTTTTTGCCCCGGGCGAATTAGGCTAAGTCGGGCCCTGTATGTGTTACTCTCAACCTTACCATTGAGAACACGAAGCCCGGTCGAGAATAAAGTGATGTGATAAAATGACAAAAAATGATGAAATGACATAATTTAAGTATTAAGTAACACTTAATAATTGAGACTGCTGATTTATTTACAATTATAGCTATATTCATTTTTATACGCTTTTTTTATGATAGGTTATAACCAAAAATTACGTTTCACGATGATGAAAAAAATTATATAAAAACAAAATTTATTATTAAATAATTTCGTTAAAAATTTCTTTTTTTTCAACCGTATTTTTGGATTCAGGGCTTAGATTTGTTTTAGCTTTCAAAAGACTATTAATCCGCATATTATGTGATTATTTAACATTAATTTTGCACCTAGTTGTTGCTTTGAATAGTTAAAGTAAATTTTGAAACCACGACAAATATATCCACTCTCTGGCTAAATTATTAGACGCACTATAAGATTCTATGTAAGATCTTAATTATCAGGTGATACTATACAGCCTTATTGTTTTTACGCGGTTTGCACTTGTTTACGTTAGTGTATCAATGTGTTAAATTAGACAATATATAATATAAATTTGACGATTGGATACATTAGACGATATATTATATAAATATAAAATATTTATTATATCAAGCATTATATCAGTATATTATAATAATTAGACCAAACTATTAGACCTGACTGTATTTTCTTAAAAATTGCATGTTTTGCACGAGTTTATATGCAATACTTTTATATTTAAACATACATGCAATGGGTTTTTATTCAGGAGATTTCTTATATACAGTGCACTCCCGATTATCCGGGTTAATCACCGGGACAGGTCGCACGGACAATCGAAAAACACGGATAATCCGAAAACTCCTTTTATTAAAGAAAAATTCAATATCAGTACAAAAATTTACATAACATCAAACTAGGAATTTTCCTTATTAAAAAATGTGTAATGCGTCTTCGCCATATATCGATACACATATTTTACGAATAGCAGTAATGTCACTGTAATCAAATCCTCCCTTATAATCTAATAAAGTTTCCACAGAGCAGCAGAATGAGAAATTGTATTTCCCTCATTTACTACATCTTCTGCATCAGTTACTATCATCACTATTTATTTAACAACATAACGATGTCTTCATCAGTCAAATACTAGAAGTCAGGCTCACATGCATCACTTTGAAGTCAATCTTCTAAATTTTCTTCATCAAGAATTTCGAAACCTTCGATTTCTTTTGTTTGTTCGAGAATACTGTTATCATATTTTTCTTGAACATCTGAAGAGGATTGTTCATCAAGCGGTATGATCTTTCTCCAAGATCGTGATAAAGTAGACGATTTTATCTTTGACCATGCTGCTGATATTCCATATACTGCAATCCAATAACGAATATTGCTTCCAAAAATTTGGTAGTGTTATAACTTCATGATTCAAATATTTTTAATCTTGAAAATGTTTCTCTTTATATTTTTTGTGTGACTCCGGTATGAGCACGGATAATCTGCAAACCGGATAATCCGCGCACGGATAATCGAGAGTGTACTGTACTTCCTATGCGTATTTATTTTTAAACGTATTGCATGACAATGTTAACCCATTGTTACAGGAGGTAAACAAATGCAAACCGGTTTCATCCGAGTAAAAACAATACAGCTGTATAGTATCACCTGATTGTTATAATTTTGCACGGAATCCTATAGTGCGTCTAATCATTTGACCAGAGACTGGATATATTTCCCTTATGCATCCATTGTTTCTTAGTAATAGATGTTATCTTTTCAGTGGATTTTCCTAGTGATTGCATTTGAAACAGTCTATGCTGTGACATCTGGGAACACTTATCAACACAGTCATCAGCACAATCATCAACCTACTCATAAATTCTACGTGAAAGATTTCTACTCACCTAGCTATGGTGGATATGGATTAGGTGGATACGTATTAGGTGGACACGGATTAGGTGGACATGGATTAGGTGGACACGGATTAGGTGGATATTACGGATCAGGTGGATACGGATTAGGTGGATACAGGCCATCCGCCTATAAGAATTATAGGCCACACTACGCTGCCTCTTATCAACCTGATTACTGGCACGGATCTGGTTATTTGTACGATCCTTATTTCCACGGCAGTTATGATCACGGCATAATCCCTGTTAAGGTTTCAGGATATGATTACGATGATTGGAAACAGTAAACATTCAAATATATCAGATAAATTGACCTAGTAAAATCGAAACGTGGTTCAAGGCGTGGAATTATAATTTAAAATAATGAGTACAATCAAACAAAAAAAGAATATATGACATGCATTTCGAAGATTGTACAGTAAAGATAATGAATGGTATGAAAATCTCTATCAAACTTGCTCTGACTGTATCATAATGCAAATAAAAGGAATTAAAGACATAGGTTTAATAATAAAAAAAAAATCATACTTTCGATAAAGAGGAATAAATTGTAATTATGTTATATTATTTATCAGAAATGCATTAAACATTTTCAATGGAAATTTTTTACCAACTTTTTAATCATGTGCAAATTGTTTACTTCAGAACATCTGGGTTCAGAAAATGGTTAATCAATTTTTCAACCTCACAAGCATTGTTTTTTATTAAAAAATAGTTAATATTTATTTATTTTTTATTGTTACATATTATTGAATATAGTTATATTTAGTGGAATGGATAAGTGTGATTGTACTGTTAAAAATTTTTCCTGAAGAAAAATTTTTATTTTTATGTTTAATAAATAAATGTTTTAAGAAAAGACTTTGTGAAATATTTTCAATCTCATTGTGACAGAAAATTATTCACCTGATGCCTTTAAATCTAATATAAGATATTTCTGTGCTTTTCATAAACCAATTACTGGTCGTAAAATCTGCATAGTGATTCAGAAAAAGGTATCAATCCAAGTAACTTTTGATCTAATGATTAGATTATTGCGTATCTTGAAATGCATATTTTAAACATGAGGAATAATAAGCATTTTATACGAATTAAGTAACGAAATCGCGCACAAAAACAAATTTTGTCTCAGTAAACATAAATTGTATGGGAGCTTTTTAATCTCAAAAATAGGGTAGGTTTGCAAGATAGAGTTCCAATAGAGTGATTAAGAATTTTATCCCATAAATGGCTTTGTTTGGGCCGGGATAGCCTAGTTAGTAGGGCACTGGGCCCATGTCCAAGAGTTCGTGAGTTCGATCCCCGCTGCCGAAGACTCCCCTTGTAGCAAATGGTGACTGAGGCACGTTTAATCTGTCGAGTCGCAAAGTCCTCCATGTTCCCATAACAAATCAATACCTCTGGGAGTACTGGTCCAGGAGTTTCCTTGTCTTCTGGATTGGGTTCAAAATTACAAGGCTACGCAGTTGAACATTAGTGGTCGTAAACCCAAAATTGGGTCGGCTGTTCAACGACGGATATACAAAATAAATAAATAAAAATACTTTTTTTTTCTCGTTTAAAAATATTTTTGTACCTCGAGAACTAATAACAGAAATCAAAGCTCTCGCTTTTAAGCACAAAATAACTTTTACTCGTCCATTTATAAAAACTATTAATTTATTAAACGAAACATTTTGAAATTATAATGGTATACAAATTTTTACCCTTTGATAAATAACATAATTTTTTAATTGAAAAATGCTGAATTTTCTGAAAATGAAGATGTTAACTCTAAGATTTTATCGCTACAAAATAACATAATTTTTTTTTCTTCCAATTTTGGTTTAAATATTCTAACTACACCCCTGTGAGAGGGCAGGGAATTGACTCGCCATTTTCAAACCTTTAACTACGTAATCACTTTTTTTTGCAGAGATCCTCAAGTCTTATCTTTTGTTTACATTTGCAGTAACTTTCTTTTTAATAGATAAGGCTTGAGTAAAGACTAAAGCGTCAACCTTCACCTGTTCAATTTCCCCAGTGAAGAATTCTTAATACAAAAAATAGAATGTTATTTTTTCTAGAAAAATAAAGGAATATGAAAAATAAATTGATATCTAAAATAAATTTTTTTTCTAAAATCAAGAATCTTCTATTCAGGGCTACAGTCGAACCCCTCTATAGTGAACAAGGTTTATAGTGAACTCCCGGATATAGTGAACGAAATGTTCGCTTCCGTGCCTTGCTACACAAGTATAGTGTTATTTTTTGTGGATATAGTGAACCAACCAAAGAAAGGAAGTTGGATATCATGAACTTTTTTCTGTCTTCGCACTGATTTATTTTCTTCACTTTTTATATAATAATTTTGAAATTTCTACTTCAAAATAAATACATATACCGATTTTTAAAACCATCTATTGCGTTGAATGTAGCAAAAAGCATTTTTTTCTAGTTTTCTTCATTATTGAATAGCATTATTGAATTGATTCAGCATTAAAAAAAGTCGCAATCTACCAGCATCTGGACAAATGTTTCAAATCAAAGCAGATGAATTTGCTGAGTGATTTTGTGAGACTACTTTTATGCGTTCGAATGGCTGGTTAGACAGGTTTAAAAAACTGAGTAATATAAATTCTGGAAAAATTTTCGGAAAGCCGGGAAATGTTTCCATACCTGCTAAAGATAACTAATTTTTTTTGGGACGCAAGACGAAGAATAATAAAAAATAAAAGTTAACACATTTTTTGTTGCTACGTATTATTTTTCATTCATTTTTGTACTTCATTTTATAGGTCAATTAATGAAAGAATACGTAATAAAAAAGGGGAATTTGGAGCTATTAGTTAAAATTCCTTGAGGAATGGATATAGTGAAGTCCCAGTTATAGTGAACCGAAATTTCTATCCCTTGAATGTTCGCTATAGTGGGGTTTGACTGTATTATACTGTACCTCTTAATTTAGTAAACGTTTATTTTGCTCGAAGCGATAAATATTGCTCGATTGTGGTAAACTTATAAGCTGAACTCGAGCAGCAACTTACCGGCCAAATATATACAGTTTAGAGCTTTTAATTTGATGGGATGAACAACTAAAAACATATTTTGCCTAATCTAATAACGTAAAGCCACCACATGAAAAGGCAGAATATGATATTAAATGAAACAACTGGAATTATTTTAGTTTTACTAATTGTGTTGGTATATGTGTTACAGTTTTGTGTATAATTTCTCAGTGTTTTCAGTACTGATATTTATTTTTTTCCCACCTCGCAGGAAGAACGGGTAATCTACTATATTTTCAATATTCGAAGATTCAAGTCATTAAAGTGCAAACAAACAAATTCATCTATCAAAATCAAAGAGAGAGAGAGTGTGAGAGAGAAAACTCTTTGTTAACTCTAAATTTATATTTTTACCATGCGCAAATCCTATTCGGGCAAATCAGTGGTTAATAATCTCCTAACATTTAATAAGACATTTTTACTCAAATTTTTTTTTCTCCAATAAGTGTTATAATTTCTTTAAAAATCATCAAAATCTAAATTCAATCTTTCATTATTTATAAACTTATATTTTATTTTATAACAGTCTTTGAACAGCTGACGCAATTTTTGAGTTTACGACTACCAATGTTCACCTCCGTAGCCTTGTAATTTTGAACCCAATCCAGAAAACAAGGGAACTCCCGGACTAAATAATCGGAGAAATTTGCCTCCGTGGTGGACTTTTCGATGGAACTAACCCGCATTTGTGCCACATGTAGAGGAAAATCACGAAAACTTCCCCCAGTTATTCTGATTGCAAGGGGACTCTAACTGGTCCGACTACCACTGAAGATATTTTTAAGTCAGCACTATGGATTCATTTCGAACAGAATTCATTTCGAACAGCCATCGCTGGAATCGAACCCATGTCACTTCATTGAGCGGTGAGAGCTCTATTCCTTGAGCCATCACGGCACTGAATTATCCAACATAATATTTACATCCACTATCCTTTGTTTAAGCTTTTATTTTCCTATTTTGCAATCTGGCAAACTTAATACGAGAGCCGCGATGGCTCGGGTGAGAGACCGTACACCTTCCAATGAGATGAACCGGGTTCGAATCCCACCGATGCGAATCTGCATGCGGCTTGCACCGATCTCAGTGCTAGCGTTAAATGTCATCAGGGGTAGGCGGATCATGGGTTAGAGTCCCTTTGCCGTCAGGCTAGCCATGGGAGGTTCTCGTGATCTTCCTCTCCATGTACCGCAAATGCGGGTTAGTTCTATCAAAAAATCCTCCACGAATGCAAATGTCTCCCAATACTTGATCCAGTCTTCTGGATTGGGTTCAAAATTATAAGGCTACGGAGTTGAACATTAGTAGTCTAAGCATTAGTAACGGCCGACCCAAAAATTGGGTCGGCTGTTCAACGACGGTTAAACGAAGGAGAGAAAAAACTTAATAGGAAAATACAGGGTGTTCCAAAATTATCTTTACAACTTCAAAAATTCATAACTTCGAACATAAACAAGATATTTATATTCTGTCTTTTGCATGTATTACTGCAACTAATAAATTTTTTTTTCAATAGGCTGAAAAGTTATAAGTGAGGATGTGGACACCACAACAGAAAGCTCAATGCGTCTCATGGTTCATAGAGACGAAATCAGATACACAGGTTCAACGGAACTTCAGGACAAATTTCCAAAGAGACCCACCATCCAGACCCTCCATCCGTTCATGGCACACAAGCTTCATGAGCACCGGATCAGTATTGCATAAAAGTGGAGCCGGACAACCCAGCACAAGTCCAGAAAATGTGGAGCGAATACGGCCATGAGACGCATTGAGCTTTCTGTTGTGGTGTCCACATCCTCACTTAAAACATTTCAGCCTATTGAAAAAAAACTTTATTAGTTGCAGTAATACATGCAAAAGACAGAATATAAATATCTTGTTTATGTTCGAAGTTATGAATTTTTGAAGTTGTAAAGATAATTTTGGAACACCCTGTATTTAAAATCATTTTTGCAAGATGCTGAAAAGTGGAAGCACATTTAAATTCGCTAGTCGCTTTATATGCTAAACTTTATGTTTTTTTTTCTGTATTTCTTTTTACTTTTTTTTCTATATTATCCTCATACTATTTAATTGATATATTTTGCTTTCGGCTACATTAATACAATATTAGAAAGCACACTTTTTTGCGAATATAAATCGTGTGAACTGGTGACGAAATTATATCTTTTCCTTATTTTGTTTTCCGGCTTTTTAAATATTTAAAAAAAATTTCATTAATAAATTTTCTTTTTAAAAACATTATTTTGACTTGTTTTCTTTTGTATTTCATAGGTTTTATGTACATACTTACAGCTAATGCGCAGTTAATTATTTATTATTTTCTTTAACTTATTATTATTTTTTTTTTTAATTTTCTTCGTGACTGTTTTGTTTCTTTTATTCTTTCCTGTCTCTTTATTGTATTATATATAGAAATAGTAATATTTCTTCATTTTTTTGTTTACTTGTCATTGTTTGTCTTTATCCTGAAGCTCTCTATCCAACGAGATTGATTAGATGTCTTCAGAGACACATTTTAACATTTGCATCGAAATTTTTAAAACTATAAAGACTGAAGAAGGATAATTTGAACAGTTATATTATATAAGGTTCTATCGTTAACAAGTAAAATTATTTCATATTTCTTATTGTGTCGCACATTCTGTGTCCCGAATTGTAATTTTTTTTTCAAGTACAGTAGTTTAGTTCTTAAACACAGGTATTCTTTCATTTCATAGAGATTAACATATTAACAAAATGAGATTACTACATAAATTATAATAATCAGACATTTCAAGAACAAAATGATCTTTTTGATCAACTACAGTGTAGTGAACCCTCAAGGGACCGAAATTTCGGTTCACTATTACCGGGACTTTACTATATCCGTTACGCAAACAATTTTAATTAATCTTTCCAAACTCCCCCCTTTGGGGGCCGGGATAGCTTGGCAGGTAGTGCACTGGGCCCATGCCCAAAAGGTCGTGAGGTTCAATCCCAGCCAGTAAATGGTGACTGTCGCACGATAAATCTGTCGAGTCACAAAGTCCTCCATATTCCTGTGACAAATGATTCCTCTGGGGGTATTGATTCAGGAGTTTCCTTGTCTTCTGGATTGGTTCAAAATTACAAGGCTACGGAGTTGAAAATTAGTTGTCGTAAACCCAAAATTGGGTCGGCTTTTTAACGATGGTTATAAAAGAAAATAAAAAAACTCCCCCCTTTTATTACACATTATTTAAATAAATGACCTATAAAATGAAATACAGAAATGACTAAAAAACAATACGTAGTAATAAAAATGTGTTAACTTTTATTTCTTATTACTCTTTGCCTTGCGTGCAAAAAATCTGTAGCTGATGTGCAATCCTCAACATCAGATATGGAAACACTACCCGACTCTCCGATAATTTTTTCTCAATTTATGTTACTCCGGTTTTTAAACCTGTTTAACCATCCATTCGAGCACATAGAAGTAAACTCACCAAATTGCTTAGCAAATTTATAGGTCTTGACTTGAAGCATTTGTCCATATACTGCAACATTGCTGCTTCTTTGAATGCTGAACCAATTCAATAAGGAAGCAAACAAGAAAAATGCTTATTGCTACATACCATGCTATAGTTGGTTTTAAAAATCGGTATAGGTATTTATTTTGAAGTAAAAATTTCAAAATTATTACAAAAAAATGAAAAAAAATAAATCAGCCGAAGGCAGAAAAAAGTTCATAATACCCAATTTCCTCTCTTGTTTTGGTTCACTATATCCACAAAAAATAACACTATACGTGCGTAGTAAGGCACGGGAGCGAACATTTCGTTCACTATATCCGGGAATTCCCTATAAACCCTGTTCAGTATAGCGGGGTTTGACTGTATTAAGAAAAAAAAATGATAAATGAGCAACAAACGCATAAGCGAAGTGAAGAGGGCTGTATATTTACAAAAACCTAAACGCATGTTTCCAAGTCATTTTTATGTAAAGGCAAGCAGAAATTTTTCTACTGTAAAAAACTAAAAATTTCCAACAACGGTTTTATGGTTTTATTTTTTTTTCAATATAAAGAATGTTCACATTTTAACGACATTAAACTTCATTATTAATTTTTTTGAAAATCACAATTTATACTTCATACTCTTCATTAGATAGTGAAAGTTTTTCGTTAGATTGATTGGAAATATTTTGTTTCAGCCAAATAACTACCTCTAAAATGTAAATTCAATGAAAAAAATAATTGTACTAGATTTAAAGTTTTAGTGTCCTTAGTGATCAAATGGATCTTCCTTTGGCTTGATACTTGAAACCGGTGCCCCCCCCCGTGCATTTGTTCCCTGTTTGCAAGACACTAACCCTTTCCTTAAAATCTTCGTAAACCAGGTAGTGAATTTTAAAAAAAATTCCAAAAATAAAGAAGAAAAAAACTTTTTCGGCAATTTAATAAAAGTGTCATGAACAAAAATTTTGTTAATGTTTTAATGACTTAACTGTAATTTGTTTTGCATTTTTTGGTAGGAAGTCTTATTTCCAAGAACTGTTGCTTTCCCGTACTGGAAAAAAAACTCTAATTATCTTTCTTAACTCCACAACAATTAAGAGGGGCGTGCGTTTTAATCGTATCGGATTCAACTCAGTGAGCTGTTTAGTTAGCTAGTTCTTTCATTTATTTATTTATTTCAGCTATTATTTATTTTTAATTTAAATTTAGTTTTGTTTGAGAACGTTTAATAGGGAAATGTAAATGTTAATAGGATTCTAGTTCTCATTTAATAAATGAAATTCCTAATTTTATGCACCGAGAATTTTCAATGCTTAAACTGAATGGATAGAATAAGTTAAGCTGAGTAGCAGGAAAAGAACGGAGTAGTATATAAATGCAGGGGTTAAGGATTCACTCTTCGAACAATTCACCATGATGAATACATGGGTAAGTAACTTGAACTGTTTTATTAATATTTTGAAATATATCTTTGTATATTAAAAATATCTTAAGGGTCGATGCGGCTGTTTTTGGCTTTTAATTAATGTGTTTATTTACTGGTAGGAGCTATTTATTCACTTGGTTATCTTACTATTTGTACCCACAAAACCTTAAAACGATTCCCTTTCTTACATAATTTGCATTTTACAACAGATACGTTGACATTGTCATTTACCAAAAATTACGGATTTTAAAAATATTATGAGTTTTCTAAAGACAAACTGTGTTTAGTTATTCATTCACTGATCGTTATACCCTCTATGAAATATAATAAATTCCGGTGTTAAAAATATTTGATAAAATTTTCAGGAGTTGGAGTAGTAATAGCAGGGTACATGTACCCCCCTAACGAAGCCATAACAAAAAAAAAATACCATGAGCAAAATAATTTTTTTTAAATAACTTTAAGGACTACAGTCATAGTTATGTAACATTAATTGTGATTTATACTAGGAACAAATTGGTTTTTTTCCCCCGCAATAACGATAATAATAGGGAGATTGCGTACTTTTAGGTTAGTTTCCGAACGCTCCCGTAAGTAAGACTGAAGCAACTGCCCATGCTTACGTTTATTTCAGATACTTCGTATCTTTACGTAATGTTGGCGTGATTTTCGCTATAAAGACAAAGCTACAAGCACGCTGTTTATAGCTGTTAAATGATGTTTTAGCCTACCTTCGAAATAAAAAAACATGAACATAGAATGCAAATTTGAAGAAATGCAATGATGAGATTCAGAAATGAATCCTGTGATCTTACAATAATCTTACAACTATGGTTGTCTAATTGCACAAATCCATAGCAAACTAGATGTATTTTCGCTATTTCAAAATTATAAATTATATTTATTTTAACTATACAATTTAGTTAAAGAAAGTTAAATAATCTATAGAAGTTCAATAATTTTTTTAAACATTAATAATAATAATAAGCTGCATTCTTTATCGCTGAAATTTCATCTAAATCTATAATCTAGCACATTTTTCTGCTCACAGATCTGCAGTTTTACGCAGTGTAAAGCATCTTGAATTGTATGTCGCAGCTTTAAAGAAATAGTCTGCATGCATTGTAAATGTTTCTTTTGATTTTGTGGTCGAAGTTAAAATATTCTACTACATTATCGTTTCTAACGTACGGATTTTTACAAAATCTCTTATTTTCACTTACGTTAGTTTGATATTTTTTCATGGAGCATGCGCATTTCACCAGAACAGACGCATGCGCACTTACTTAAATTTTCAAAATTTCCCTAATGGCATTTTCTATACGAGCCTTATAATGAGCCCAGTAATTAGTTTTATACTACAATTTGTTACCAACCCTTGAGAAAATATTAACCATTTCTATTTAAAATGTATGTTTTGTTAAGGAGGGGACATCTGATCAATTTCATTGTGGTTTTATCCAAGTGCAAATGTGATTTCGACGTTAACAATTAAAAATATGTGTAATATTAATAATGTAATAATAATATTTTGAAAAGTTGCCTGAAATTTGTATAGGATTATCTGAAAACATCTTGGGAACCATAATTTGAAAACGATTTAACATTTGACTACGTAAAACAAACGTTTGAGGTTTTTAGCAGTTTCAATTAAATTGCTATTTTTTTTTCATTGCTGAGGAAACCCTTTGAGCAGGTAGCCTTGAGTTACACCCATTAAAGCCACGATGCCCCTTGGTAAAATAAAGTTTGTATTAAAAAAAAAAACATTGCTTTTTGAAAACGTAATTTGATTCTCAAAACATTCATATATTGCGTTTTTATTATTTATAGTGACAGTTTTCAATCACAAGTGATTGAAAGTGAGCGTAACGAATTTTTCATCAGAAGCGGAAAATTTGGCTCATTTTGCTACTACTTATTTTGACCAAAACATTCAACTAAATTCAAGTACATCACTTTTTGATGGAACTAATCCACATTTGCCTTACATGGATAGGAAAACCACGAGAACCTACCACGGTTAGCCTGACAGCAAGGGGACTCTAACCCATAATTCGTCTACCTCTGAGGATATTTCACGTCAGCACTGTGGTCAGTGCAACCCGGATGCGGAATTCATATCGACTGGAATTCGAACCCAGTTCGCCTCATTGGAAGGCGAACGCTCTATCCCCTGAGCCATCGCGGCTCGACATATATCATTATTTTTATTTTATCCGTCGTTGAACAGTCGACTCAATTTTGAGTTTACGACTACTAATGTTCAACTCCGTAGCCTTGTAATTTTGATCCAATCCAGAAGACAAGAAAACTGCTGGAGCAGTACCCCCAGAGGTATTTATTTGTTATGGGAACATGGAGGACTTTGCGACTCGACAGATTTAATGTGCATCAGTCACCATTTACTGCACAGAGAGTCTTCGGTCTGCGGGGATCGAATCCATGACCTCCTGAACATGGGCTCAGTACCCTACCAACAAGGCTATCCCAGCCTTGACATACATCATTAGACATAATTTAACTCAGAGAAACATTTAAAAGCTAAAAAAAAGAACAAAAATTAAAGAATCATTTCAATTCAAAACATTTGAATCAAGAACCTCTCGTATAAGTGATCGATGCAATGACCATTGCGTTACGGCAGTTCAGATCTAGATAACTATTGGAGTGAAACAACGAATTCGATTTCAGCGTCTCATAATGTAGAAAAAAAGGCTTAGCTTGACATCATGATTCTATGTTATATAGTGAATTTATGTTACAGGCCGTCAAAATGACGATCATTACTATTTTTAACGACAAAAAAAATCGTTACTGACTTAAACTTTTACGATGAAGTGTAAATTATTTCTACAAATGTTTTTTTTTTTTAATTTAATTTTGTAGGTTTGGAAACTGCTCGTGACACTTGTGCTTTTTCATTCAGCCCAAGCTAGAGGAGGACTGGGTTACGGCGGTGGTAAAGGTATAGGACATGGTGGTCTAGGTGCTTACGGTCCAGCTTTGGGACTTGGATATGGAGCCGGTCTTGGAGCATATGGAGTTGGTTTTGGAGGATACGGATCAGGTCTCGGAGCATATGGAGCTGGTTTTGGAGGATATGGAGCTGGTTTAGGAGTTCCCTTTGGACCTGCTGGAGGCATTGGAGTGGGTTATGGTGGAGTTGGTTTAGGAGGCATAGCAAATGGACAAGCTGTGGGCAATTTGGGAGGTCCACTTCTTGGTGGTTACGGTCTAGGTTATGGACCTGGTCTCATAGGATAAATGTTTTTTTAAAGTGTTTGTTTTTTGTTATATTTTGTTTAATAAACAATGACAATAAATTTGCGAACTAAAAGTGAAATTTCAGTTTTTTTGAGAAATTGGTTGAATTGTTCTAAATTGAAAGTATGCTAAAAAACGTACCATAATTACGCTAAATAAATCATTGCTAAAATGGATAAGCAGGATAGTTTTGCCCAACTTTTTAAGAAAAAATATTAATCGATTTTTTTTTAGGCATTATAAAATTCCAAGTCAACATTGTTTGATAGCTCGTAAAATTTTTCTTCGCTTTATACATTATTATTTCTATTTAAATTGCAAAATAAATGTTTTATAAATGATTCTAAAGAGTAAACAAAGCCGGTATTATCTTCTTATTTGAAGGTGGTTTGACTCGCTATGAGGGAAGACTGACTAACAGGGAATTAGAAGAGATTATACAGAAATAACTAAATGTTTAAGAAAATATGCTACAGTCAATAATTGCGTCAAAAGAAATCAAATATTTATTTACCGATAAAAAAAATAAATCTGAAATTAAATTGTTACAGGAATTAAGTGTGTACCAGTAAAATGAAACATCAAAATACAGATGAGCTGTATTCAGTATCATCTAGCATATGCTCGATGAAACTCATGATATTTAAAATTTACGTAAAAGACCTGTCTCAGAAATGTACAGTATTGGTGCAGCAGTAATCGGCATAAAGTTAATTCATAAAATACTTCGCATCTATACAAATTATATCTGGTATAAACTGTACCAAGTTACCAAAATTAAGCATCATTTGTGTCAATAATAGTATGGCGACTTTTTACGGTTGCCCGTAACGAATAAGTACATTTTCTCCATTAATTTTGCGTTTTAGTTCAAAAAGCATTTTTTTATTTCAATTAGTATCTACTACCAAAATTAATTAAGCATCATTGACGTCAATAATTATTTGGCGATATTTTACGCTCTCGTAAACGAATTAGTAACATTCCTACATTAATTTGGCCTCTTTTTTATTTTATATAGTAACTATTACCCCAATTAATTAACACATTTATAATATTGGTGTCTTCTTATGTTTATCCTCAAAGTTATCATTTTTATTTCTCTATCTATTTTGCTTTTCAGTACAAAACTTTTGTTTATTTCAACAGCCGTTAATTTTTAATTATTTAGCTTTAGAGTAACAATATAATCCCCTTAAACATATAAAAAAGGTCTTTTTATATGTTTAGATAAATACATACCACACAGATTCTTGAAGTAGTCAGAAGTAGTTTATAAGGTAAAATCCAAAATTTGAACGGTCCCGCAGTGGACACGGCTCCCAGCAGATCACCGAAGTCAAGCATCATTGGCTACGGTCAGCGTGCGGGTGGGTGACCACTTGGATCAGTCTGCGTAGGGACCGAGGGTGTGCGGCATTGGTCCTCGTTAAACTGTGCTACCGTAAAGTGCTCGACTTCGCGTGCAGGTCGTCGGGCTACCGAAGAGGGGTTGCCATCCCCTCTGCGGAGGATCAAAATTGTGATCGCATGTCTAAGGATCATCCTCAGGGATGTTTCCCAGACCGTCGCCAATAGCCCACTGTGCAGCTCTAGTGCGACGTAAATGAACAACAACAAAATTTGAACGAAATCAGTCAAATAGTTCCTGAGCAGGGAATAATTTTATTTTAAATCAATTACAAATTTTGCTAGCGGTTCCGCAATATACAGTTTGTGATGCAAAGAATTCAACAAAATCATTGTTATTGAGGGAAAAAAAACAATTATGGAGTGCTAAATATATTTATACTCGTAAGATAGTTTAAATACTAAAAAGCGGGATTTGAAATGAGTCAAAAGTAATTTTATAGATCGAGATTTTAAAAAATGCCCGGCTGAAAGTAAGAACAAAATTAAATAACTGATAAGAAAACTATTAGAGAATAATGTTTTGTTTTACGAGGACATAGTAACAAATTGAGAGTGCTTAGTCAAGTTTAAAATTCACGTGTTGTCATGACACCATTTTAAAAATATCGCTATTCGAAAAACTATGTAAAAAAAGACTGTAAAAACGCAAAATATTTGCCGAGAAAATAAGCAGAAAGGGACGTAAATAAAAGGATGGAATTATCGCGAATNCAATTGTGATGCTCACGACACCATTGCAAACTGGCAGTACGGTGCTGTCTGGTCAATGGGACACACACAACAGGTCTGCGGGCGTATAGTCCTCCTCCCCTCAAACGTCTGGCAATAGTTTTTCGAAAGATCTGCTTTCCTGTGGCAGCAAGAAACTGATTTGCCACTTGCTGAGCTGTGGTGCGCCTGTTCCTTTTTGCTGATAGGACGATGTATCTGTCTTCTGCAGTCGTCGTACTTCTAACACGACCTCCCCCGTGCCACCTACTACACATTCCAGTAGTTTTAAATGCTTTCCACAGCCGTGAAACAACGCTGTGAGCGATGTCGAACTCCCTGGCAACATCTGTCATTCTTCGCCCTTCTTCGATCTTTCCAATAATTCGGCCACGCTTAAAATCATCTAAGTGATATCAGGAAGACATGCCGAAAATTTCGAGTTCGTCAACTAATTCTTTCCTGTAAAACTTTGACTTGAACAAACAACTCTCCACACGCGTCAAAACCTTTAAAGCTCTTATCAGCGCTATCACGTGATGAACAGACGTGAAAAAAAAACTGCATACGCATACTTCTTTTTACTATATCCCGCTCTTATTCTAATTTTCCACATTTTGCGTCCTTTCATTTTGTGGTTGCTATGGATGATAGTGTTATCCGTCCTTAGCAATTGTCCAGCAGTGTAGTATGGCGACTTCTTACGCTTGCCCATAACGAATAGTATTTTCTCCATTAATTTTGCTTTTAAGTTCAAAAAGCATTTTTTTATTTCAATTAGTACCTACTACCAAAATTAATTAAGCATCATTGGCGTCAATAATTATTTGGCGATATTTTACACTCTCGTAAACGAATTAGTAACATTCCTACATTAATTTGGCCTCTTTCTTATTTTATATAGTAACTATTACCACAATTAATTAACACTGGAGCCATTTATAATATTAGTGTTTTCTTATGTTTATCCTCAAAATTATTATTTTTATTTCTCTATCTATTTTGCGTTTCAGTACAAAACTTTTGTTTATTTTAACTACCGTTAATTTTTAATTATTTAGTTTTAGAGTAACAATATAATCCCATTAAACATATAAAAAAGACCTGTCTTTTTATATGTTTAGATAAATACATATTACACAGATTCTTGAAGTAGTCAGAAGTAGTTTATAAGGTAAAATCCAAAATTTGAACGAAATCAGTCAAATAGTTCCTGAGCAGGGAATGATTTTATTTTAAATCAATTACAAATTTTCTCTAGCGGTACCGTAATATACATTTTGTGATGCTAATAATTCAACAAAATCATTGATGAGTATGTTATTGAGGGGAAAAAAACAATTATGGAGTGTTAAATATATTTATACTCGTAAGATAGTTTAAATACTCAAATGCGGGACTTAAAATGAGTCAATAGTAATTTGATACATCGTGATTTTAAAAAATGCCCGGCTGAAAGTAAGAACAAAATTAAATAACTGATAAGAACACTATTAGAGAATAATGTTTTGTTTTACGAGGACATAGTAACAAATTGAGAGTGCTTAGTCAAGTTTAAAATTCACGTGTTGTCATGACACCATTTTAAAAATATCGCTATTCGAAAAACTATGTAAAAAAAGACTGTAAAAACGCAAAATATTTGCCGAGAAAATAAGCAGAAAGGGACGTAAATAAAAGGATGGAATTATCGCGAATGAAGTACGTCAAAAGATGATAACTCAAATTCAAAATTCGGATGACGAATGATCGACCAAAAAATCGATAAATAATTTCTAAAAAAAAGATTGAAAAGCGAGATGGATTAATGACAGAGTTGAATTGAGTGCGTAAAATTTATTACTTGAATTTGAAATTCATGCGTAGTAATAACATTGTATTAAAAGTATCGGAATTTGAATGACCCTGTAAAAATGTCAAAAATAAAAAATGAAAAATAGCTGAAATAACTGGAGAGAAAACGACCAGAAAAAGAGGTGAATAAACGACTAGATAGCCGAGAATCATGCGCATAACTGAGATTCTGGCTTCGTTGCCGCAATGTTAATCAATGTGAAAAATCATGTAGAGAAAATCATGTGCAGAAGAAAAAAAGATTATTAACTATAGAAAAAGTTATCGAAAAAATAAGTTGAGGTTTAAACCTTAACTTATCGTAGTTAATCGAGAATGTCAAGAAGTGGTTCGGAATTCGCGTATCGTATTAAAAACAATGGAATTTGAAAGATAACGTGAAAAAAGACGAAAAATCGATGGCAAATAGCAGACCATAAGAAGTAACAAGCAATTTTTTCTACTGCGCTATTCTGAAATTCGCATTTGTTTTTTTCTCTTTTAACTAGCAATATGTTACTTGCTAGTCTATGAAATCGCGCCATGTTCCTGATAAATCAAACTTAAAATGTCAGATTTTTAAAAGGAGAAAAAACAATTATAAAACAAATAATATAAAAATATTTAATAAGCTAAATTTAAATATTAGTCTAGTTTATTAATACCTTTTCCTTACTTTTATCTCATACTGTCACTATTACACGAACGACCCCTAGCGTGACATTATTTATGGACTACCAGACAAATAAATGAAATAATAGGTAAAAATAATTCCGTTTTTTCAATTAAAAAATTTTAAAAAAAAGTTATAAGTTAAAAGTTATGGAATGTAAAAACTCCACTTTCTTTTATTTTTTAAACAAGAGCGCTTTAAGTCAAAAAACATTTTTTTTTCTGTTTCAACTTTAAGAAATGTTTTAGTTTCAAATCAAATAAACACGATTAATATTCATGTCTAAAAGAAGAAACGGTTATTCAGGGGTTAGAGCAGTTTTCGTGCAGGTTCGAATCCCAGCGATAACTGCTCGATACGAACTCTGCTCTCACCGACCGCAGTGCTGACGTAAAATATCCTCAGTGGTAGACGG